GTTGGTTATAGCTTGCTATTTTCCCTTGCGGAGACAAATCAACCTTTGGGTGGTTATAGCAATGCCAAAATATTTATTAAGTTTACCTGTTCGGTTTACTGATTTTTTTTTTCACTTTTTTTTTTTTTTAGTGAAAACGTTCATCAGGTAAAGGGATCTGCGACGAAGATGATGTGACCCTCCGATAAATTTGAAAACTTTTTTAATAACTTCGTGTTAATAATCAGTTATTTTTTATTTGTACGACCAAAAGTCTTTTATCAATAAAATTTCAAATAAATAGATTTCGTTTCACAAAACAATTTCTCATTATCTATTGTGAATTAAAAAAATTCTATTCGCTTTTTCTTGTATTATATTACTAACATGTTTAAGAACAAGAACGATTGTCGGACGTGAGGGTAATTTTAAAAATAGATTTTTGCGAAAAATCTTAAGCTAGTAGACTCTCTATTCTTTACTTAATTTTCAATGTTATGTTGTCATTTGCAAAAAGAGCTTTTATTATTTATTTTACAGCGAATTTATCCGTATTACAAAGAATTAGTAATTCTTTTAGTATCCACAATGGCAATATTTGTAGGCGATGATGATCTTCTCAATATGAATTATCTGAGGAGTTTTCAATTCATATATAAATAGAGAACTTTATTTGCTTTTTAAATTTGGAGAGCAAAGAATGATAATAAATAAAAGAATTTGAAAGTTGAATGACAAATTCTTCTTCGAATATTCATATTAAAGTTCGAATTAATTTGGATTATTCGAATGGTTCGAATCACAAAAAATTCGAATGATTCGAAATCATTCGGATAATTCAAATCGCAAGAAATTCGAATATAGCCGGTGGAATTTTATTTAATAATTATAATATTACATAAATTTGATTATAAAAATTAATAAAAATTAAAAGGTTTTAAAAAAAAGGGTGATATATTTTCGCGACAATAAAATCTATTAAAAAAAATGGTAGTAAAGATGCGAAATTTCGTGATATTCTGCTTACAAAAAATTCGTGTTAAGAAGTTTTATTAGAAGAAAATAAAGTAACTAATAAAAAAAAAAAATGACATTTCTTTTCCTCGTTAAATATTTTCTCAAAAATTTTTTCTCCGAAGTGATTCGAATTAGATCAGAATTAACGTCTGATTCGAATTACATTAAATGTCAACTTTGATTCGAATTAAAAGGAGAGGATCAATGACTTTTAAATATTTTCATATAATTTAAATTACAGCAATAGGGATGATTAGTCCCTCTCTTAAATATGATTGGCTCAAAACTAAGATTTTGACTCGGATTCAAGAGATGCCGTGTTTTCTTGACCATATTGTTAAAATTAATATAGAAACGCGAGGGCGGTAGTTTTCATTCCAAAAAAAAAAGCAGAATTAACAACTGTCATTGCAACCATGATTTCTGCGCTAAATTGAAAGAAAACTTTTTTTTATCTTAAAGCTGAAAGTTGGCAGATTTTTTAATAGTGTTTTTTTTTTGCCATTTACTCATTAATCTAAAAAAAGCTCAAAACTTAACTTCATCGAACCGAGAGATTCAATAAAACAGTTTCAGGAAATGCATTTTATTCCTCCGTCATAGATCTGAAAATTTTTTGACATTCGGCGTTCTACATTGCCCTTAACAATCAATTGCCTTAAGATTTTCCATTGGATTTTAAGTCAGGACTGTTACAGCTCTCATTTTACCGTTTGCATCAATACTCCAAGAAAAGAAATAAAGTTTATTCAGAAGGAAGAGAGCGTGATGTATGACGAGAAGTTACTCTTATTGAACGCTATAAACCTTTTAAATCGTTAATTAACCAAAAATGTACAAGAATTTACTTATTTTCTTCATGTGCATTAAAGAAAATAAAATAACCAGTTCTTTATAATAATAGTAGTTCTTATTATGAATTAAGATTTACGAGTATTATTCCATATCCGCATCAAAATCACCATAGTTTTAGTAATAAAATAAATTGCTACAAATTTTAAAAAAAAACCCGTTTCCTTTAATAAACCAAAGATAGTAAATTAATTCAAGTTTGAAAATATTTTCAATAGTTCATGCATCCATGTCCATAAAATCAATATCAAAGTCGATCAGATCGATTAAATCATCATCTATATTATTCTTTATATCTGGAGGAGGAATGGGAGGTGTTTTGCGAGGTGCCGCAATCATATATTCTTCAAGTTCTCTATCGAGTTCATTTATATCCACAGTAAACTTTCTTTTCTTTGGTAATATCCTTGATATTCTCTTTGTTGCTGGATCAAGTTGAAAATTAGGTGCCAAAACCTCTACTTTTTCCTTATTATCTTCTTCAAATTCCAACTTTAATTCAGAATACGTACCATCTTCTTCATGAATGACAAAAAGGTTTGAATTAAAATCTACATGATTTGATCTATTTCCATTCATTTTCTTATTTCCAACATCAATAATTGATCCGAAATCCTGAATCTCTTCCGTATTCATACATCCATTTAGATTTTTATGGTTGATAGAAAATGTAGATGATGTGACGGCACCGATTCGACTAAAGACGGATCGACTTTCTATTCCTTGTATAAAATAGTTAATGCTTTAAAATAAAATTTCTCGAAATATAGAAGAGAAAAATACCAAGAGAACCTTGTTATTTGAGCCACGCTACCTTGTCCAACCCTGAAGTTCTTTTGAAGTTTTTCCCGGTTCCATTTTCGATTAACCGATTTATCATTAGAAATATCACGTTTTTGCAATTTAATTAAAGTGAACCTAGTTATCGACGTTGATAAGAAAATAAATTTTAAAAAAAAAATTAGAAATAAGGGGGGTTTTTTCTTTTTTTTTTTTTTAAAAAAAAAAAAATAAAATAAAAATAAAAAAAAATAAGTATATCCGTGTAAAAAAAAACACTCACCTATCGCTGAGCGACATTGTTCCCGTTTCTTGTTTTGTATGTTGATAACTGACAGGTTGTTGAAACATTATTTGGTCCATAATGAAATGATTTATGAAGGGCTACTTTAAAGATAAAATCTTTTTGGTCGTTCGTAATGAAATAGTTGATGATTTGAAGAATACATAAAATGAAAAACTTGTGGATGATTTATTTATAATGATTTAAAAGGGTGTCACATGATCCAATACGTGTTATGATGACACCATCAATGTTTTTTTATTTTAAAATACCTTCTCCCCTTTCGTTCTAAAATAACTTTTACCTTTTTTACCTTCACAAATAATCCCGATGAATCTTTACCCAAAAATCCTCCAAGCTTCAGGACCGTCAAAGATGTTCAAACATTTCATCAAACTACTAAACAAAAAGCGTGGAAGTTAACGCATCAAAGCCACTCGCTAGGGACACAACACGTTAGAACAGCTCATATACCACCGCTACCACGTTACCAGTTAATGAAAAAAAAGCTGATAAATTAAAAGATCGTAAAGAATCTTTGTTATTATCATCCCTTAACTATTTCACACAGTGACTCCTCAAAATTCTCGTAATTTCACTAACGCTATAGTATGGAATCAAAGAAAGGTGCGGCCAGAAGTTATTGGTGACGTAATAATTTGGCTCGGTTCGGTGTTACCATACTTGTATTTGAATTATAAACATTAGCATTGCCTATGGCTGTTACGAGATTCGAATAATTTGATGAGTTTCTAGTTACTATCTGGTTCTTATTTTAAGGAAAAAAAAAATGCCATAATTTATATATCTTTTTTTTTTTTCCTAAAAATTATAGATTAATAATAACTATAAAAGTTTTAGTACTGTAACATGGACGGATCACCGTGATTTTCACGACGCAGCCATGATTATCATCAACTTAAAAAATTTACGAGGGCCAATTTCACATCTTTCATCCGATACAACTAACTCAACGCGATAACGGTATAATTTCAATGCTTTTAAATTAATTACTTGGTAAAGGTATTTTATTGTTTAATTAAACATTCTTAATATCATTAATAGAAAAATCAAAGGTTAGATTTAGTTAGCTAAACAAATAGTTTTCTGTTCTGTGAAAAAATTCATGCTATATTCTCCACCTTCTCTTCCAATACCTAACGAAAAAGTTTTTTATTATTAAAAATTAATTTATTTAAGCATGGTTGATAAAATTAAAATTTCTCATACCACTCTTCTTTACTCCACCAAAAGGTACTCTCAAGTCTCTAACCATCCAACAATTAACCCACACATATCCAACTTGAATAGATTCTGCAACTCGACGAGCACGCCTTCCATTTTCACTCCAGATAGAACAACTTAAACCATATTGATTGTCATTAGCCAAGTTAATGGCCTCCTCTTCAGTTTCAAATGGATGAACCGTTACAACCTATAATATAATAAATAAATATATTATGAATATTAAATGTTATAAATAAATAAAACCCAAGACTTACCGGTCCAAAGATTTCTTCCTGTGCAACACGACAAGACGATTTAATACTAAATAAATAAAATCATAAGTTATTAATAATTCTATATAAATATTTCGAATATTCCATGTTTACTCACTTTGTGATTACAGTTGGTTCAACAAAGTATCCATCACTGAATTCTCCATCAAGTTTTTTTCTTATTCCACCACATTCGATAATGCCACCATATTCTTTTGCCAATTCAATATATTTAAGAACCTTTTCCATGTGCTGCTTGCTAATCAATGCGCCAACTTTAGTTTTAGGATCTTTTGGATCTCCAACCACTAATTGGCGTGCTTGTGAAATAAACGCGTCAAGGAATTTCGGATAGATTGATTTTTGTACAAATATTCGTGACCCACATAAACAGATCTGTGAGATTTTAAAGTTACAAATTTCTTTAAAAGTAATTTATATAATGATACCCCGCTAATTTTATCATTACCTCTCCTTGATTAGAAAACGCGGCTCTTATGCTTGTATCAACGGTTTTTTCAAAATCACAATCTTCAAATATAATATTAGCATTCTTTCCACCTATAAAGAAAATTATATTAGTACAAAATCAATATTGAATTTGCAAAATGATAAATACCTAGTTCCAAAGAAACTTTCTTGAATAATGGCGCACAAGTTTCATTAATCTTTTTCCCAGTTACGGTGCCTAAATGATGATAGAACTTATTATCATATTCTATTCTAATTCAAGAGAATAAATAAAATCGAATAGTTCATTTACCACCAGTAAAGGAAATCAAAGGTACTTTAGGATGAGACACAAGTGCTTGTCCGGATTTTGACCCTAGAAAATAAATTTCTATTTAATTATAATATAAGATTGAGGTTAATAATAATTATCATCGCTTACCTGTGCCAAATACTATGTTAACCACACCTTCAGGCAAACCAGCTTGTTTGAAAACGTCACAAAGCACTTTGGAGAAGCAGAACATTAGTATAATAATACGGTAATATGATTGGATGAGATTGTTCAGCTGATTATCAGCTGTCGAGAAACTTACTGTACGCGGTCACACTGGTAAATTCGCTGGGTTTTGCTACACAGGTGCAACCAGCTGTTTAAATCAATGATAAAAAGCTCGTTTCAAGTAAATTGTAACAAAAAATAATCATAATACAAAATCAATTAAAATACCTGCGATACATGGAGCAATTTTCCAGGTTAACAGATACAAGGGTCTGCAAATTCAATTAGGAAATTTTTAACAAAACTAAATACGCGTCTTAAAATATTAAAATAATACCTACAAATTCCACTAATAATTAAAAAATAAATATCCGTTTTTTGTTAAAATGATGATTAAAAACGAGCTTTTATTCAAGAAGGGTTTCTACTAGCTTTTAAATCAAACCTACTGGAGAGATTAGTCCAGCGACGCCTAAAGGATATCTTTGAATATAATTCAAAGCTATATTATCCGTAACAGTAGATTTTTCTTCAGTATGTAGGATATGACCGGCAAAATATCTAAAGTTATAAATAGACCTTGGAATGTCAACATTCTTTGCGAATTCCAAAGTTTTTCCTTGGTCTATTGATTCTGCTACTGCGAATTCATTCAATTTTGATTCAAGTATGTCAGCAATTTTATACATGATTTGAGCTCTTGTTGAGCGGGAAGTTTTCGACCATGTTTGAAACGCTTTTTGAGCTGCTTCAACCGCTAAATTAATTTCGTACTCTGTAGAATTTGGAATTCTTGCATAAACTTTTCCTGTCGAGGGATTATAACTGTCAATGTAAGTTTCTTCTTTAAGAGAAGCAAATTTCCCGCCAATAAAATTAGATAATAATAACATCGTAGCGATAGGAAATATTTTACAATTGAAAACATTTTGTCATAATCCATATATAAATGGTAAAAATTTAAGAACGGTAGTACAAATCACATGATTAGGCGTTGATTAAAACGAAGTTTTTTTATAAATGGTCTCTTTAGTTCGTTAAAAAATTGCGCGATATTTAAATAATAACTTTCGAGAAAAAATGTGCGGAAGATATGTTTTAACTTCGGTAAGTATATTTTTCGTCAATTTATTTTTAGTTATTGGAAATTTTATTCATTTCTCAAATTATAGAGGCCAGAATCTTTGGAGCAAGCTCTCGAGAGATCAAATATAAAATGTACAAAATTCATTGATAAAGAAAAGTACCAATCCTCGTAAGTATATTATGACCTTGACTTAAATTTATTGTTGTCGATCATAATGTTAGGATAAGCTTATTCAAATTTGAAATATTTCCATTTAAACAGATATAATGTTGCACCTTGTCATTTTCAACCGGTTGTTCGGGTTGAATATGATTCGCGTGAGACAATACTTCATACTATGGTATTAAATTATTCTTATCAGTATCTTTTTTATTTATTTGAAAACAATAATTTATTATTCGATAATTTAGAAATGGGGATTAATTCCTTCATGGACAAAGGGAAAACCCGAGTTTTCCAAATTGATCATCAATTGCCGTGATGATTCATTAAAGGATGGAAAGAGCATGTTTAATTCTATGAAGAATAGAAAACGTTGTGTGGTGGTTGCTGATGGGTAGTGTTATATACAACTAAGTAAATATGAATTCCTGTTTAAAATGAATTTAGATTAATTGATTAATTGATTTAGATTTTATGAATGGCTAAAAAAAGACAAAAAAAGGATTCCTTATTTCATCAAAAGGAAAGATGGAAATTTGTTTTTATTTGCCGGATTATATGATTGTGTAAAGTTTGAAGGTATGATATTTTTTGTCATTATCATTTTGAACTAATAAATCAGATTGAATATATTTATATATATGTTATAGATGAAGAGAATCCACTCTATACTTATACTATCATTACTACAATGTCGTCAGCTCCGATCGAATTTTTACATGATAGAATGCCAGTAATTTTAGAAAATGGATCAGAAGAACTGGCTACATGGTTAGATCCACGAACGCCTTGGAGTCCTGAATTAGTCAGGCTTTTAAAACCATTCGCAGGCGAACTGGAGATGTAAGTATCGAATCAATATCATTTAAATTTGACTATGTCTAAACATTTAAATTCTTTTCTTTTAACATTTAGCTACCCTGTCTCTGATGATGTTGGACATGTTAAAAATAATTCTCCTGATTTGATTATTCCCCTCGATTCGAAAAAATCAGTTATCGATTTCTTCCAGAAGAAACAAGAGATTAGGGATGACGTAGATGCGACAACAAAAATGGAACAGAATGAAGATGGTGATCAGATTAAAAAGGATGATGATAAAGTTGTTCCAGCAAAACGTTCTCTTGATACATCCGATGATGAAACAACTTCTGATACGAAGTCTAACAAAGTTCAAAAGGATGAATTTGATATTCCATCATCACCTGATCCTAAAAAAGAATCTTTACCATCAACACCTCCAAGTATACCTAAAAAATCATTAAGATCTACACCATCAAAATCTAATAAGACGCCTAAACGATCATTACAATCTACGCCATCAAAGAGACAACCACCTAGGAAAAAGAAAGTAGATAATGTTAAAGAATCTGAAAAGATTACAAATTATTTTTCTACCAAATCCTGAAATATTAATTACCGTTTTTAAAGTATAATAATTTTTGTATTCGTGAGAAACACCTTGATTTAACAACATTGAGAATTATTTATTATTTTGTGATTTTATATTTACAATCCAATTCTGAAATTTGTGAAAATTATATTTCTCCATTATCATACTTCATTATTTTTACCTCCTATTATATTTTTAAATATATTCTATTAATTTTATAAACTTTCGTAGAATAGGTAACTGGTTAAAAAAATATTATTCATTATGTAAATAATACCCATCATTCTTATATAATAAAATTAATTTGTAATATAAAAGTAAGAACCATTCTGTGATGTAGCTATTACAACGTTACATGGCGCAGCTTTAGTTTTCTATACTGAAAATCAATGTAATTTTCGAAAGATATTTTATATAATAAAATTTTACTAATAAATAAAGTCACGTGTATATTCGTGAACCTCCGATCAGTAGCATTGCAACACAAGAAGGAATCCAAAATGTTCATACTTTATTCAAATATCGGATGGATTCAATTTTTAATCTAAAAGAAGAGGCGCATAGAAGGTATTTTTTTTTTTTAAGGGAACAAGAATGAAAAAAAAAAAAAACGTAGAGAAAAAGAAAAATAATAAATTTTGAAATAAATCACATGATGGAGCTAAAATTAAAAAAATTCTTAGCGTTAGATTAATGTAACTATGCAGATGATAAATCTTTTTATAATTTCCTCTTTAAGGTACATAATATTTTTTTCCCAAATTTATTCGTATAATGCCATTATGCCAATAAATATTTGACAACAAAGGTATACTTATAATTAACCTGCAACTGTGAATTTCATTGTTTTGGGTTTTATAGAAAATCTAAGCGAATATAGTTATTATGACTAATAAGTGAACGACGAAACAAATGACTTCCTTGTTTTCTTATTGTACCTAAAAATGGATTAATTTTTAAATAAACATATTTGGATTCATTCATAAGGTTCAAAACCGAGTTTTTTTTAAATACCTGTGATGTTATTTTTAAGTCATCAATATTCTAAGTTACATCATCACTATTAAAAATAATCAAAAAAAAATAATTTGTAAACCAAATATGGTATAGACAGAATTCATTCATCCTCGTTCTATATATAATTAGTCATTTAATCTCGAATTTTCATTCTTGCATTTTTTTTTTTGTATGTATTTTTTTTCTCGACAAAATTTATCCCTATCATATAGTTAGAAGGAATGCCATTCGCTGTATCATTATTCACTGAAACATGTCCCATTGTAAATAAAGAAAATGATCCCGAATATCTTAATTTTATTGATGTAAATGGAAAGACAGTTCCTCGTAAGTACCCCAAGAGAGATATAATTCAGGATTCATATTTATTTAAATTTTTTTTTTTTTTGATTTAGTTCATATTGTAGGTTGGCTGGTTTCTTTAATATTCACAATCCTAGCTTCGGTTGTTACATTATATCTTATAAAACAGCATTGTAAATATTATACAAATGTGGGTTATTGCGTCATCAAATCGATTCCAAATTTTTTTTCGATACTCTTGATTTTTTGATTTTCCTTATTATTTATTTATTTATTATTATTCAGCCAGATGAACAAAGATACATAATACGATTACTCTTAATAGTACCGAATTATACGATACTAAATTGGCTAGCATATATTTTCGTTCGAAATCGATATTCATTATTTTTCATAACAATAAGAGATGGATATCAAGCATATGCCATAATAAATTTTTTTAATTTATTATTGCATAGTTTAGGAAAGAATGATGATGAACGATTGAGTAAATTAAGATCAGCAAAAATCAAATCCATTAAAGTACCATTACCATTTTGTTGTTTAACTTATAATCCAAGCGAACATCGTAATTTATTGAAAAGGTTTAGATTTGGCATGTTACAATACGTATTTATCGTTTGCACCATTACATTCGTTACGTTTGTATTACAAGTGTTTGGAAAATATTGTAATGAATCCTTTTCTTTAAGATTTCCTAAAATTTATCTAATTGCCATTCAAAGTATTTCCGGACTTGTTGCTGATATTTGCATGGTAATTCATGAATCTATTGTATATATTTTTTAGAAATGGATTTTGTTGAAAAACTAATTTAAATCTTTTTTTCTTTGATTTACATAGAATATGTTATTTAAACCTGCTCGAAAAGTTTTAAAAGATGATCATCCTTGGTTTCTAAGAAACATTTGTGTTAACGTGGTGAGTATCAATCGTATTTTTTTTTAAAAAAAAATTATTTGATGATATAAATTTAATATAATTGATTTTATCTTAGGCATTTTTCTTGGTTACATATCAAGGTATGATGAGAATCAATCTTCCTTTTTTTTTTTTTTTAAAAAAAAAAAATGTATCATCAGTTTAATCATTAGTTTATCATAGGTGCCACGTTAGGATTATTAATTTTATTGGGATTTATAAAGGAAACGAGATACTGGTAAAAAAAAATAACGTTCGATAATATGAACCTTTTGTCCTTAAAAGAAACTTTTAATAACAACAACTTACTTATGTTTTATTAGGACGGCACATGATATATCAACGGGAATTCAAGCTGTATTAGTATCAGTAGAGTTTTTAATATTATCCTTAATTCAAATGAAGGCATTTCGCTATAAAGATTATAGACCAAATTCAAGGAAACCCACTCCGATATTACAGGCGATGAAAGATTCTTTAATACCAATAGATTTATTTAAAGAATTTATTCATGCTTCAAAATACATTTATTGTCGCTTGAAAAAGAGACCTCCTCCACATTTATGGCCAAATGATAGGCCTAGCCCCGAAAAAAAGGGTATTTGGCAATATTTAGGTAGATTATGGAATGGATTTTTTAAAAATAATAATAATAATTAGATTAATTGATGATATATATATATAAATAATAGAAATATTTATTCAAAATAAAAATAGTTTATAATTTTATTAATTGTTCGAAGGGTGTTTTTTACATGATTTCTACGTCATACGTCACCTGCTATCATAGGTCGCGTCGCGCGTCTAAAGCCCCACGGATTCGTGCATTTCATAACGCGTCGCAGATTTTATCATGTTTTTTGAATTTTTTCACGTGAACTTAGATTATAAAGGACAACCACCTTTTTAAATTTTACATTTTTGGTAATTTGCATGACACGAATCCGGGGGGCTCATTAAAAAAAAAGTTTAGTTCTTTTTTGTGCAACATAAAGTAAAGAGAAACAAAAAAATTTGGGGGGTTTTTTTTTTTTCGACAAAATGTTATAAATATACCCCCATTACTTCTTGAATTTGACAAAAATTCATTCACATATCTTTTCATCGTTTCATAATTAACATCACTATTATTACCCTTTTGTAACATCATCAATCGTCCCTGCATTCATCCAATCAAATATTTTTATGATGATTGTGATCTGCCAATCATATTTGTTGCGGGAATATCGCACGAAATTACTACCTACAACTTTCATTCGGTCGAAACTGGATCATTATTTTTTTATTGCGCCAACAAAATTCTAGACCTGGTGACTGGACAAGTTTATGAAGTATGGGATGATAATGATATACGTTTTATACTTTATCGTTTATACTAGAGAACAAAAAGGTATTTTCAAATGGGATATTCCCACTTGAGAAATATTGTAGATAAAACTTGCCAATCGAACGTTTGAGAGGTTCATCTAATCAGCAAGAAGAAGTAGAAATCAAGATTTGATAGCACCGGTTATCGTTGATGTTGATGAAAAAAGGGACTTTTGAGTTAGAATACAATGTTGTCATGGAACATAGTGTGGGGGACGTTCTCAAAATGCTTGGACATTGAGAATGTATATCACTGGGTGAAGGTGGGAGGAAAATCCTAGAGAGAGTAATATCCCTGTGGTGAATTTATTGAAGCAGCATCATCATAAGCATTTCTGGTAGGATTAACACGAGGTGTCCCAACTGCGGTAACTAAAGGGAGAAGCAAGTGAATGGGGACGTGTTCATTTCGGATTTTTAAATTGGTACTGACAATTCTCATTTGGATTTCTTGTTGAAAATTTAATCATTTATTGGAGGGGAGGGAAATTCCGGTGATTGGTCGATCCAAACGAGTCTGAAATAAAACTACGGAGAATAGTCATAGTTTAGTTTTCTGTTTATTCTCGAGTATTATGTTCCACCTTAGTGTGTTGATGTCCCGCAAAAATTTCAAAAATCAAGACAATTCTGATTCATTGATTAGTAATAAATACCTAATTCATATCATAGCTTTTTTAATGTCTCAATGTGCTAAATTCTTGGACATATCCCAACTGACAACAATGACCTATTGGAAGACACAACAAGTATGCACTAGTAAATAAATTGACCTTTTTTTTTTTTTAATTTATTTATTTCAAAATATGTACAAAAAGAAATATATAAAAACTATAAACAAAAATTTTCTAAATAAATTTCCAAAAACGAGATAAATAAATAAATAAATAAAATCTCAAATAAAGGGGGGTTCTCAAAAAAAAAAAAATAATTTTTTTTTTTTTTTTTTAAAATATTTTACAAAAAATATATATATTTACATACATCACGCATTCACTTAGGTACCACGTACCCTCCCTCACATCCGTTCCTCATTGTACTTCTTCGCCCCTTAATTTTCCTAAATCAACGGTGAAAATATTCTTTTGTAACTCTTTTGTCATCGCCCTTGTAAATCTTCCATTTACCAAACCGGACTCCCATGATAAATTAAGATGTAAAAATTTCAAAGATGATTTACCCTTAGCGTAACCTATGATTTCTGTAAGATAACTAGTATCAATAGCCATATTAGGAAATAAAGTTAATTCTTCCAAAGGAGCTTTGCAATCTTTCAAGAATGACCCCACAAAACGTAAGGAAAATTCTTGTTCTAGATCCAAATGACGTAACGTGCTTGGTACGGTCGTTGTCATGGCCGTTAAAAGGTTATTGATATCATTTGGTGTTATAGAAGAAAGTTGTAGATAATTTAACCGTAACCCTCCAATCACTTTCAAGTGTTGCGAGAAATCTAATTGAGGCGTTTCCGATATATCTAAATAAAGGTGAGTGACACGAGTTCCCGATCTTAATATCGAACTGACTATCTCGGGAGATATAGTATTTAACCATAATTTCTTTAAAGAAATCCCACCCATTCTAATTACTTGAGCGGATAATTTTGGGGATTGTTTCGATAATTTCAGCGAACGAAGATTAAAAGAAGACCCTTTAGCAACTGTTGTTGGTTCATCAGAGATATAACCCTCCGAAGTTGGACCGTCCGATATCATATCAAGTGATCTCAACTTTGAACATTTTCCGAGAATATCTAAAGATTTCCATTGATAATCCACCCTTGAGAATTTCACAGAAGTTAGAGATTCGGTTTGAGTTTCTTCTATTGCGGTTAAGATTGACAATACACGATTACGAGTCCCGGTAAGTTCAAAGGTAGTTATACTTTGTTGAGCCCTGATTATGGAAGCTAAATTTTCAGCTTCAAGTTCATCATCGATGCCAAACTCAACCACCAAATGACGTATCCCGGTACAGATTTGAGGCAACCTTTTAACGAGACCCGATATATTTGTAGCGGTATTTGTCCAATGAATGATTAATTTGTTTAAATTGGTGAAGTAAGGTTGACCTTTTGTGAATAATCCCACACTTGGAAGATCATCATAAGAGTCCAACACCAAGGAATCCAAATGAGACGTCCTGACAAATAATTTACAAAGTGCCTTCATTATCGTAACCTGACGATTTGGATTTAAATCAGGTTTATTTGGTTTGATTTTTCTACTAAATTCTTTACTACCTAAATTTCTATAACATCTCCTAACCGCCATACGAAGTAAAGGGTAATTTAATTCCTTCAAGAAAGCGGAATATTCAAAAAATGGACTCTTTAATTCTAAATATTCCTTGTTGGATGATTCTTCTGAAAATAATATCGCTTTCTCTTCGTCATCAAAACATGATACATAAGTTTCTATCAGACTTTTTGATGAACGTTCCTTATAGACAAGGGGTCTAGGTCTAGCCCATAAAATTGCTACGATTTTCCTACACCAAGCCCTATTAACGAATAAACATGTATGCAAAGTGGATTGATCATGTATATGTTTAAATATATCATCAATTGTTTCCGAAGGTAATGATGGAAGATTACGATGTTGTAACTTTTTCGTCGTTGCCATTGTAATAATTTTTTTTTTTTTTTTTTTCGAAAAAAAAAAAAAAAAGGATGGGAGGAGAGGTTTATGAACATTTATGGTCAAATCATTGTTTAAATAAGCGAAATCTGATATGTTGTGACCAATTGTGTAAGATCTGGAATCGAACATCTGCACAAAGAAGGGAAGGATCGTGTTACATTGTCGATCTTCCTCCACTTCAGGAAAGAAAAAAAGCCAATTTGCTTTTTAATAATGATTCTGATTGAACCCGAAGTTGAATAAGTTGATGTTATACAACGAATGTTGTTCTGAATTTTTACAGGAATTTAATTTTAGCTTTTAACCGCATCAACACTAATCTTATTTCGAGGTTTTTTGATGTAGTTCGTCTGATTTTCAGAGATCCCATTCGAAATAAGCACATGTTATTACTTTGCCTAATGTCGAACGAAAATTGTTGAGACATGGAAATCATCGGTTTCCATGTGATATGACACATTCTTTCTGCTTAAAAAACTTGTTGCTCTCTCCTTTTATTTAAATCTCCAAAAAAGAAGTTATTGAAAATATTTTTTCTTACCTGGTAATTTCTTATCATGCAAACAATGCATTCATCATCAATAAAGTTTTGATCTCCATGATAATCATTGTTCTAAAAATTGCTTTTTTAAAATTTTTGATTGGTTATAATCACGATCAAAAAAAATGATCAGAGAGGTTAAGGCGGTATTTAGTAACGGTCTATAAAATTTTTTAACAAATATTTATATAATTATGCAAGCTTTTGCGACTTTGTTGAAATTCAGGTGATAACTTGCAAATCCTTTTTTTTTTTTTGTATGCATAGGACCTATTAAAAATTGTCAACTCCATTGTAAGATTTATTATTGTATTATTTTATTATATAAAGAATGATGTGAGATATATAGCGCTGAATAAACTAATTTTTTTTTTTTTTTTTTTTTACAATCCCAATATCTTTATCACGGCATCCAATGCTAAATATCTAAGGTTTTTACCCAAAAACCCTCGTTGGGTTAGCTTGCTCTACGGCAGTTGACTCTTTAGAAACATTTAATTGATCCGAATTCAAGATCGTTACGGACACGGACAAGAAGAATCTTGTAGGTGAAATCGTTTATATAAAATTTACTTATTAAAGAAACCTCTTTCAAGATGTTCATGTTGTGAGTCTGGCCTTATCTAATGAACAACTTTCAAGTTTCATCACCCCTCATAACGAAGTTTTCGCATTAATGAATTGATCGATTAATTTCTTATTATTTGATTAGGTTAACGAATAAAGTTTTTTTTTGAATTTATTTTAGATAAAAATTACTTTGTATTTAAATATTAAATGGAATGATTCCAATAAAGAGAAAATTCAATCTAATTAATAAATCAAATTCTTTTAATATCATTTCTTAAAATCACGCGTAACATTTGACACTTAACTTACTTTCATCATAGCAAACATAAAGCATAAGGCGTTACATTTAGTAGGAAAAAGATCAATATTGTTTTTTTTTTTTAATAATTAAAATAATTAAGTTAGTTACTAAAGAACAATCATTGTTCTCGTGAAGTAAATTCAAATCTTGGGAGGGCTTCAATAAAAAAGGGGAAATATGAAATTTTTGTTAACTTTAGTTCCTAAGCTAATTTTGAGGACATGATTATGATCAGTCGAGTGGACCAATAAAAAAAAAATTTATCAATTGACTACCGCCCATATACCTGACAAATAAAGAAGTATGTAATCGCGTATATGTTTTCAGTGTCCAAGCATTTGCTCTGTTACATTTGATCCATGTATTGTCCCGTGAAAACGCTTGGAGATGCGTAATTTCTCATTTTTAAGGTCAAAATTTAACTAATTGGATTTACGACAAACATTGGGACCTTGACACGTTCTTTTTTTCTTTCTTTTTTTTTTTTTTTTTTAACCTTTCACCGATACGACTTTGCCCGACAATTAATTTTTGCAACCAGGTTGCGGCCAGAGATGAATTTTTTATTTTTATACATTTTGCCGGCCAAAAAAAAAAGGTTAAAACGGGCCAAAATTTTCTAATTAAATTAAAATTTAGGTCAGTCAAATGGTCAAATGTAACACTGGTTTATCTCTTTGTTGTTTTTAATGAGTAAATTTTTTTTTCTAGTCATTTGAATTTTAATGCGCCCATCACTGATCCGCCAAAAAAGAAGTATTTCTTTTTAACAAATCATAAATGAATCCACTTTTATATGCCACCAAAGGTTAATCAATTTCATGTGTAAACTTTAAAATATATTTTATTTCTTTCTAGCAACTCAACCATTACAAAAATTCATATTCTTCCGATAAGATACGAGCATTAAGTACTCTCATTCTAGGTTATTAACAAGTTCCTTTGTACATGAATATCTGTACGAAAGAAGGATCATTATAATAATTCTAATAGATCATATATATTATGACCTTTATAGAAACATTTACATTACTTCATAATTTTCTTACTTATTCAGTTACAGTAGCATTATCATTACTCTGAATTAAGTAAGTTACTTTTTTTGGTTTAAATCAAAGAAATTTTGTTTATTAAATTCATTAATTTAAATTTATATAAAAATGTAATATTAATATACCAAAATGATTATAATAAAATTGTTTTTTTCCCGGTAAGTATCAATTTAGAGATATATATTATTTAATTATTTGGAACTAATGCGATTAACAAAATAGGAATGGAATATTTTCAAAATAATTATTTATAATAAAAATTTTTTGTTAGTATCAATTTATATGGAACTTATGCGATTAACAAAAAAAAAAACCCTCAATAGGAATGGAAGATTTTCAAAATTAGTTATACCAAATAAAATATAATACATGTATAAAACAAGTAAAAAAAAAAATTTAAATTTGTAGATTATTACAAGTTATATACATAATTTACTGAATTCTCTATCCCGCAAAAAGACTTAAAAGGTGGGGCGGCTGATGTTGAAATTAAAATAGAACAAATTGTGGAGGTTACTTACTTTAAAAGTGAACATTTTCTGTTAAAAAAAGAAATTATTAATTTTTTTTTTTTTTTTTTTGCGCCTTTCACTCTATCTAATAAGAATTAGTCGGTGAAATTTCATTAGTCTATCTATATATGAAATCGCAAAATCTCTAAAGATCATTTTATTTTTATAATGAACTATACGGATTAGGAATTCCCTTAACAAATTAAATAAAATTCGGAAAAACATAAAAATTTTTATTTACAAGTTCCAAACGGTGAACATAAAAAAAAAAATGCATTTTTTTTTTAAGGTTTTAACGAATTAAATAGTCGTCACTCGAAAAATTTTCGATAAACAAATATGCAAGGAAAAGAAAAAACGTGGTATCACTCATGGAAAATCAATCCAAGGTATTTTTGATCCCAAAAAATTTCAATGGCGTTTTTTTCTCAATTTTACATCATCAAAAAATTTATTTTTTTATTGTTTGTATACGATATCATTAACAAAGTATGACCAAATACTGTTCGAGCGACATGATAAGTTGTGGCTTTGCTAATTTTAAGTAATTTTTCCCAAGTGGAATTTGTTTCTATGGTAAATACTAGTTTTATTTAGTAATGTTTAATATTATTAAATAAATGTCAGTTTTAAGACTAGAGGAAAGAATTTAGGAATTTAAGAAGAAAAAGAAAAATTCTTTAATCGTTTTTTTTTCCTTTTGCATGTCCGAGACCTTTCCCCAAAAAAACACTTAGATTTATCAGATTTATTTAATATTTATAAATAAAAGAATAAAAAAAAATATTTTTTTTAAATTTCCAAAATTCAGGTATTTAACTTGTTATGATTATTTGTATTTTCTTTGTATGGGCGGTTTTTGAAACTTTAGTCATTGATTAAAAAAAGTTTGAACAATACATTTGCATTGTCAACAGACATGCTTGGAATGCGTGTGCTTTTTTACAGGAAAAAAGTAACTGATAACCAGTTTTGATACGAAAAAGTCAAGATGAACTTTTTTTTTTTTCCCCTTTGCATCTTTGACATAGATCTTGACATTGCAGCCAAAGGGGAGGGAGATGGGGAGTAAAATGCTTTTTAGGTTAAAAGAAACAGTGATTCCCGCATGAAATACCGTAGTTGGCAATTATTTCGTTCCAGATTAAGCTTTGTTATAATAATCTGCATATAATCTGCAAGTTTTTTTCATGTAAAAAAAAAAAAATTTCGCCCAATATCTTGTTGGCAACCCTTTTTTGTGAAAATAAAGATCGATCCAATGTAATTTATTTATCTCAATATAGAAAGATTTATTTGAAATGTAGGTTCGCGTTGGCAAAAACGTCAAAAATAAACAAAGATAAGCTTTTAAAGTATCTTGTGTTCTAATGCACGATTATCTCTGGGTAAACAAATTGAATGTTTTTTTTTTTTGTTTAATTTTCTTGATAAGAATTAGAAGAAAGAAAAATACGCCCAATATCAATTTGAAATTTCTCATCCCCAACATTTGCTCCTTTAACTAGTTCATCCCTTATTCATTCCCGTTGTTTGCCAGTCAAATAAAATGATTACGGCGAAATTAAAAATGGAGAACTTGAAGAAAAAAAATTTGTTTATTATGACAGCATAATAATTTGTTTGCGTGTTACCCCAGAGGAAGCAAAACATACCGCTGCGTATTTCCCCCAAAAAAAGTTGGTTTGTGACTCCCTCCAAGTGGTCAACTTAAAAAAAAAAAAATTTCAAAATCAGTCCAGATAAAAAACATGTTTCCATTATTTAGATCACGCACCTCCTTCACCAAATGACTTGTGACAAATATGATGCTAAAAGAAGTTACTCAAGTGACCAACTTTAGAACATTTACACATTATTTAAAAAAAGTAATTGTAAACAAATAAGAACCCTCGGTAAATCCTGAATAAATTCGGAAAATTCCTTGGTCATGAGGTTCAATATTTGTTGGATAGTAATTTCCGGTGTTTCCTTGATTTTACCGCACATACCGTACATCAAAAAAGAAATATAAAAAAAAATAAACGTAAAGAGATTTATCAATTTATTGTTACCTTGTTTAACTAATAAGGAAAATTGTTTATTTAACCTTTTTGGAGCGGGTATCACCGAGAAACAATCGCACAAAAAGAACCACCTTTATTTTAACTTGTCTTTTTTTTTTTTCATTGTCATGGGTATAAGCTTTGCACTACCTCGAAATTGTGTTTCCTGCTCCTGCGCATGTCTGAAATTTTTTATCGATCCGAGGCAAAAATATTGTAATGAAGACTTTATTTCAGGAGATCTTCAAGCTAGCTCAAAAACAAAAAGCTCGGACCCTTCGTAATATCTTTTTTTTTTTTTATTTTTTCCTAATTTAGATTACAATTTGTATTTTAAACGTTAAAAATGTATCTCCTTTTTTGAATTGTTCTTTTTTTAAAAAATTTGGGCTTATTATATATTCTTGTTTGTGTGTATTTTTACTATGATGAAAGTTTAACCCTTAGACCCTTTTGATAATAAATAATAAAGGGAATGAAAATAAGGAATACAATATAATAAACACGCCTCACCTTAAACTTACCATTATTAGTTGTGATTGAAAAAGCTTATTTTTAAATAAATCGGAATTTGTATTTCTATTCAATCGAATCAGTTTCCCAAAATGGGTAAATGCAAAGTCTATGGTAATCGGCGAAGCGGTAAGTACAACGTTTATTTTTTATACGCCACGATAAATCAATTGTAAAGACAAAATTGCTTGGTTTTTTTTTTTTTTGGTTTGAGAACGAGACCTTCACAAGAAAAGGTCATTTATTTTTCTATTAATACTTTTAATGAAATTTTTTTTTTTGATAATTTTTACAAAAGTAATTAGCTAATTAAAGAAAAAATGATAAAAAAATGTAAAAGATATGATGGATATATATAATGTATATGTGATAATAAAAAAAAAAAAAGTGAAAAGAAGAAACTAGCTATTTACTTTGGAGAAATATCCGAAGTGTTGGTGAACAGAAAAAAAAAGCAAAGGGCATTTTCTTTTTTTCTATGATTATCCCAAACGTAAAAAACTGAAAAAAAAAAAAAAAAAAAGAGAGAACCCACAAGAAAGCCGGGTCGCATAAAGAACTAAATTCCCAACTATTAAAATAATAAAAGATCTAATTTTCTCGAAAAAATGACTCGAACATGTTTCACGTAACATTATTTTTTCTCTTTGCAAATCTAAGATCGTTAAAAATGAACTAAATGATTAAGAACTACAAGAACGTGTAAATAGAACAGATAAACACTTCGACAGAGAACGAAAATTGAGGAAAAATGATTGCATAAAAAAACGGAAATGAAAGGAACCAATCTTAGGGATTTTTTTTTTGTTTGTCATATTCAGATTTTGCCAGAAATTTGCCACAAATTTGCCACTTAATTTACATAAAAAAATTTTAAATCTTAAAAAAAGAAATTGGTATGAAAACTTAGAATGTGTTGATTTTAACATAAAGAAAGAAAAACGAAGTTTCGATGTTAAGTCCATAATTCTTATCCCATTACAGGGATTCATAATTATTTCCTTAAACTTCGTTCTCTTTGCGATAATTCAGATGTAGTTCGTTGCCAATTTGCCAATTATTATTGATACGAGAATGAAGTGAGGAGCCGGAACGATGTCGAATCATCGTTTGAGAAGTTGAGTTGGATTTGCGACGGTAGAGATATATGAATATATCATCCTTTCGACGTGCCACGTAATTCGTGGAATTGTGAAAGATCGTGGAACGATCATGTTGGGAAGGGTATATATATATGAAATATTTTTTTTTCTTTTTTTTTTTTTTTTTGAAAAGAGATTAAAAATTTACAGCCAGCGCGGTCCTTTCAAAAAAGTAATCCGCCTGAAGATTAAAATCTAAGGATACTAAAGTCTATTTGAATACAAAAAAAAGTTGATAATATATATATAGATATGAGAAGTATTTATATGTGAAAAAGTGTCCATGAAAGTCAAGTCCTGCCTGAAAGGGGGGGGGGGGGGGGGGGAAATTATTTTTTTTGATTTTCATTTTTTTTTTGGTCAAGGCGAGGACCCATCATTCCATATGCATTAAATATATCATTTATTCAAAATAAATGTCGGAATCCTCTGGTTTTTCAACCATGACTGGTTCGTCATCCGAAAGAGCAACGGCAGCAGGTGGGCGAGAGACCAACTTGTACAAGGGCTGACCCTCCTTTGTGATGCCAGTTCTTTCCGCCAAAAGGACGATATCATTGCACTCGAGAGCGTAAAGATTTCGTACCGAGTGACGTTTTGAACTTGACATGGGCGCTGATGTTACTGTTAATGATTTTCGGAAGGATGGCTGCTTCTTGAGCTCCGATAAATTTTGACATGCCGGAACTTCTCGAAGAAGTTGACGATTGTTCACGGCCAAACGGAAACTACCGAGTCCGTAAATTCTGCTTTCGAGCTCTCGAAGGCGTTCCATGTTATCGTGAGATCGCTTTTGCTCTTCAACGTCTGAGAGAACATCATCGAGCTTGCTCTTTAATGAGACGGTCTTGTTATAATCAAAACCTTCCTTATCTGTGCATTTTAGTAAATTTGTGATAAGGAGTGGGTATTTGAGAAGACGTTGGAATGGTTTGAGGAGGTATGTGGTCAAGGGCATGTTTCGGCACTGGGTTTGTTTTTGTTGTTTCCTGACGAGTTTGCCCAATTTGTCCTTCTTTCGAATGCATTCGTCGAGTTCTCTTAACGCATCCTCATAATGAATGAGGTATGGTGCATAAGAACGGAACACCCACACGTACGCCAAAAGGATGTCGGAGATGCTTCGAACCAATGGGAATTGAGATTCTTGACGTTCACTTAAACAACTGTTGATAACTTCATGGATGAATAAAAAGTATGAAATGGAGTTGAAAACTTTATTCAAGTTTTCTGGAACTATCTGTTTGCGATGTTTCTTTTCGGCTTCCTTGATGGGGCTGATAAAGAGTTCTTCGACCAAGCGTAGATCGCGAACATATCTAGAAGGGTGAAAGGTGAAACATCTGTTAATCATGTGACTTCGGAGAATTCGGTGTGTTACGATGTGACTTTGTTTTATCACATGAAATCAGACGATATTAAAGGAAATAAAGAAAGTAAAGAAAAAGAAAAAAAAAAAAAAAGAGTACTCACTCAGATTCAGTTTTAATAATTTCAAAAAGTACCTCCTGACGATTTAATTCTCTTGGTGACAAGTTGGCGACAAGTTCACCCTCAACTGTGTCTGACCAAATTGTGTTTCGTCGGCAATCTGTGCGATGAACTATATTTTGTCGTCGCATGTTAATGCTGCTCTTCTTTTGTGAAGAAGCTTGAAGGGTGGAATCCTTTGCTGGAGCAGTCTTTGAGGTGTTGTTGAAGAATGGGATGTGGAAGGATTTCTTCGTTTTTGCTTCTTGGGTTGTGTGTTGTCGTTCTTGATGGGTCAATATTTGATTCTTCCGTTGTGAACGGCAAAATGAATTTTTTAATAACGACATTTTTTAATTTTTTTATTGGTGTTTAATAATAATATGGGATAATAATGGATTTATTACTATTTAGTGTGTATAAAAATATTAGAATTTTTTTTTTTTTAAACGAAAACCTTTTTTTTTTTTTCTGGAAATTTGGCGGACCTTTTATAATGACGAAAAAAAGAATTTTTTTATATTTCATACATTAAAAAAAATCATTTATTGAGATAATAAATAAAAAAAAAAATTCAGAACTCAATATAGATAGATATGTATAATATATTTAAATTAAATTATTATTGTATAAAAAAAAAAAAAAAAAAAAATAAATAAATATAGTAAAATTGATTCATATTGATATTGGATTTCATATTGATTTATATAATAAAGTAAATAAAGTATGCATATATATAATCCCGCACCCAATGATAACGATGCAAAGAATGTTGTATAACGAAAAAAGCGCGCTTTTTTTTTATAAAAAAAAATATGATGTGATACATATAGGATAAAGTAACCAATCAACACATAATAATATAATTTTAAGACTTGGGGTAATAAAAAAAAAAATAAATAAAAAGAAATAAAAATAAAAATAAAAATAATCATAAAAAAAGATTACGAAAAATTACGAAAATTATCTAATATTATTTTATTTATTATATTATCCTGGTATAAATTCGGAATATTGTTATTTCGTTAACAAAAATCTAATAATGATTTATTCGTTCATGCTATTTATGATTATGTTTATGGATTTATTGTGTCAAAAAGTAAAAACGTGATATTACAAAATTTCTTAATAACAATGTGTATGATGATGCAAAATATAAATAATGTAAATTAATTGTTTATCATTAATCCTTTAGGGAATTTTTCAAAACGGGGTTGATAGAATCCATAATATTAATTACGGTGACGGTTTTAAAGGTTAATGAATTATACTTTCAGGACAATATTAGTCCCGACCCTCCGCCCGCCGAGATTGATCATAGAAAAGTGAAAATTTTGGGATCACTTTTTTTTGATGTATCTAATACCGGGTTGCCTCGTTCCTATTCGTGAGACGTTTAAATTAATTTATCATTATGTTTTAGCAATGCCCTATCATTATTTACCAAACAAATATGCCAACTGCCACACTTCCTTAATGACATTATCCATTTAGCATTGAAATAAGCTACAACATCAATATTTAATATGTGGCACCGCACGCTTTTTTTTAATTTCATCAGGTACATCACGCTGCAAAGATTGGTGGCGCGGGCACGCAAGTGTTAAATTGGTGCGAAACAATAACAAAGGTTGAATAGAAAATTCCCTCTTCAATAGAAGAATGTAAAGGTTCAAGCACAATGTAAGACAAAGGAAAAAGTTTTTTCGACAGCATAATAAAAACCGAAACGTTATAATTTTTCGATACATGATTAATACATTTCTGCAATTTGTAGACTATATCTGATATTTCCTTTTTTATTCTAAAAAAAAATGACAAGACCTGAAAGTTAATAGTTTTCTATACAGGCAATAAGTTAAATTGATGCATGTAAATGTGGCTGCGGACCATCCGAACAAAAAGGGTGATAAATGGTGCAGAGAAAAAAAAGCAAGAGAATAAATGTGCGAGCAAAAGACATTCTTTTGCTGATATGGATAGATAAAATTAAATTTAAAACAAAAAATGAAATTCCTTAACATGTCAAACTGGAAGATCTTTAAAAAATCCTGTGAAGAAAAAAAAGTGTACCGATTTTCAAACAAAGGTGAGTTTGTCTATTTTTTTTTTTCTTTTTCTTTTTCTTTCTTTTTCTTTTTTTTTTGAAGTAGAATAAATCTCGCATCTCCTTCTGTTGATCCATAATAAATTTTAAAACAAGAAAATTTTGATTTCCTTATGCTCCTTCTTGTTCAAAAAAAAAAAAAAAAGATTTTTTTCCGATCGCTTGCGATTGGATGATGGTTCATCTTCATAATCTGAATGCATCTCGGTTAAACGCGCAAGAAGTGCATTGCTTCGCTTATTAATGTTTTAAAACATCAAAGTTTCTCGTGTAAGAAAAACGAGCATGATATTAAAAAAAATCTTGGTGGTTTTTTCGGTTTAAAGATTTAGCGTCGATCTTTGTGCTTTTTTTCAAAAACATTAACGAACTTTTTGTTAAACGTTTTAAACAACAAGGTTTGCAAACAATGTTACTTAGTATTTCATAATAGAAAAATGACAACTACTTTAAATCCAAAATTGGTGATATTTCTTTTTTCCTTTTTTTTCAGGAGCGCACAAGTTGGAACAATAGTAATGACTTGTTGTGTGACCGTCTAACTAAAATAGGCGATATACAGATTTAAACTTAAGCATATTCTTATATACCTAGGACATGTAGGTTAAAAACGAAAAAAGAAAAATAAATAAATTTATTATGATGGAAAGTTTATTTTTGACTCGTTTCTGTTTTATAAATAAAAAAAGGTTTTAACATGTACGTTTCGTTTCATCATTATTAATAAATAAAGGAAAAGCTCTAAAGTGGTAAAAAAATAAAAACGGAAAACCATAATTGTAAAAAAAAAAAAAAAAAAAGGTTCAAATATGCGTATGCATTTATTCGTTTGCACAATGGACATTCAAATTTGCAACAGCGACAGGAAAGAACCGGTCGTATATGAGTTATGGTTTGTATTCCTTTCTAACTTTAGAAAACATTTGGCGTTTCACTCGTTTTTAGTAAAAGATTATCCAATTTTTTTTCCTGTGAAAGTTTTGTTCGAAACATACCGGATATATTTGAATGTTCTAAATGTTCCGAGTTTCAAAGCTAATGTATTATTTAAAACTATAAATTTTTTTCTTCACAATCTTGATGTTAACTGCTACATCATCCTATCAGACCTATTTTGTTCTTATACATCGTCATCTGATTACAGTTCTCTGTTTCAAACACTGATAACATTAAATAATCTCTTCTTAACCCTAAACAATACAATTATATCTCGTAATCCACGTTCAAACGCTTTATTGGCATTCATTTACGAGTACACAGTTGATGGATCGTAACGTCGACGATTAGAACAATGCTCCATTAAATGGAACGTTATGTATGCGAACATGACGAGGTTCTATCACAAATTATAAAATGATGTCATGGCTTTACGTTATGATAAATTTTTCCCTAATTGAAAGTTCAATAAATTTAACACGATAATTTCAAGCGAAAGGCTTAGGATGAGGAATCGTTTCGGGGTCAAAATCAATCGGAGAATTATTTTTTTTTTTTGTTTTGATATGGTCGTAGATCGCGAGCTTTTTTTTTTTATTTGATTCTGGAAATTTCGCTGACGTGAGTGTGATATGTGATTAGATCGCAGATAAGATTTGTCCGATTGTGAAATAATATGACCTAAACTACATTTCATTGTGTAACCTTAAATTATTCATATTGTCTTATTTACACGTATATATTGGCTGCAATGAAATGGGTTTCACCAATTTTTCAGCCCATCACTTGGACAAACCACTTTTTTTAAACCAATCTTTGTCTAATAGATCGATTTTTTGCTTCTTTCATAATAAAAAATAAGAAGTCACTTTATTCTTTTGAGTTACTTTATATGTTGATATTACATCTGGTACTTTTTGATATCCCAAGCCACAACCTTTACTCAATAAAGAAGTTTCGAGTTATATACAGTGTGAAAAAAAAATTTTTTTTTTTTTCATTCCCAAATATTTTTATTACATCAAGATTATTCGAAAAAAAAAAAAATTTTTAAATTAACGTCCGAACATTAAAGGTTAAAAAAAACCATTCCGAGTAGTATTTAAATTGGGAGATTAATAAGATTTAGGTGAATATTTTAATATTAGAATTTTGGAATTGATGTTCGAATTGTTTCATCTAAAAGAAAAAATCTTTCATCTGTGGGGGTCCACAAACCTTACTCTTATGTCACCCCCTGATTTTTAACAAGACACAGAAAAAAAAAATACGTTTGAACATTAGGGATTGACCGATCACATTTTATAACACATGACCTCCCTCACCATTTACACAAATAACCCATATTATTATTATTTTTCTAAACACAATATGATAAAAATATTTCCACATATGGAGAGGTACAAAAATTATTTTTATCAGGAGCTTCCACATTGAGGTCTCGTAAAAAAACTTTATTACTTTACATCATTCATGAGGCAAAGAAAAAAAGCAGGGAGAACGTTTACAATGTGTCATATACAAACAAGGAGCGAGAGTTGAACATCAGTTCACCTGAAATTTCAAAGAATAGGAAATTTACTAACCAACTTTATAAGATTCATCCAAATTGCGTTCAACGTGATTTGATGTAATATCTCGTTTGAATTTCCTTACTGAAGGATGATTTTCATAACGCGTTTAAGATGTGTTAAAATTTGAAGTTCCCTATTGTCCTTTTTTCTAATCATATTACTAAAAAAGCATTCAATCAAAAAAAAAAAAAAAAAATAGATTTGATTCCTTTTGAAGTCCTTTTGAATAATTTTTTTTTTTTTTTGAAATATTTCCCGCGCGATTTTCAAAATAACGCATCCAGATCTTATGCAGGGTAAGTAAATTGTCACATCTTTTTTTACCAGGCTGCATCTTTAATTATAAACCATTGGTTTTGTTAATAATTAGCATGCACGAGTGACACATCAGCCTAGTTAGCTTTCCCCGCAGACATTGTTTTTGATTTTCTACAGGTCTTCTAGTTAGGAGGAAATAAACTTATTGGTGAAATTTGTTTGTATATTTTGACAGGTTCACTTTGGAAGATATCTAATTTATTGTTATGCGAGATGATAGGTTTTCTAATAAAATCGATTGTGTGTGCGTTGAAATTAATTTTTAAAATAATGACAAATCATAAATAAGCTGATTAGCATACAAATATTCATTATCTTTTTAATATTCCAGGTTGAGAACGTGGTCGTTTAATTAAACATCGCACTCGACATACAATTATAGCAATGTATATATATATGCTAGGCATAATGTAAA